AATGAGCTTGTGGTTTCTGGGGCGAATGAAGATTCTCCTCATGACATTAATCATAAATTTAACGATTGGGCTGAGATTTAACATTTGCGGTGTTGCATGACCAAACGTGTCTGAGGCAGACAAAAGCAAACTGCAGGTCACCGTTACAAACACAAACCGACCCCAGGGAGGAGGACAGCTGTTTTAGTGGAATGGGACGACCACGGTGATGTTCACCTCTGATAAACAAGGGCTGTTGGTGCTAGCATCCTATTCTCTAGATAATAGTCACACCCCCAAGATTTTGGGGCATTCAAATCTTTTGATCTACACAAGAATTTATTCTGCCTCAGTCTGATCTGTAACAGCTAATAGCGTTCAACCTTGTTTAACAAAAATGTCTAATGTCTCAATTTTGTTGGAAGGAAGATTACATTGAAACTGATTCTCAGCCAGCTGGGGGGTTGCCAGTTTTTCTCCTTTTAAAAAGACCAAAGAGAGATGTAATCTTTGTATGCAACCCCACAGACTCACATATAATAAAGTCTAAGCTGAAAAACATTCGTTTCTCCGAGATATGTCACCCAAAAATGACGCAATGAACTCGGAATTTCGAGCTGCAAGCTCATAGTTTTCAGAGAACCCAGAGATCCCATATTTAAAGATGGCTGCACCAAGTGCTACCAGGAAGTAGTTGTCGTCTTTATTATTTTCTAATTTATGTTGTTTTCTTTCTTTTTGCGATTTAACAACACTGGTAAGGTGTTTATTGTTGATATCAATAATTACATTGTTGAAAAATTTGGCATTGCCACCAACATTGGCCGGTTTTTATTTATTTATTTTTCCTGGCGTTTATATTTTTTACTTTTCATTTGTAATGTTTTTTCGGTTTCCATGTGGCGACTGTCGAAGGGTTTGTGTGTCACTCTTATTTAGATGCGGAGAATACTTGGTTATATAATTATTTTGGTTTAGTAGTCAGCAACACTGGTGGGCGGCGTCCATTTTTTCCGAGTTGGAAGCCGGTATGCAAAACGAGCCCATTACGTCATTTCCTGCTCAGAAATTCTGAGTTCCGAGGACAACTCTTTTGCTTGCATACATTGACAACAGTACCCGAGTTTAAGTACAGAATGTCATTCTGACTTTGTGCACCTTAAACAACAAAATATGTTGGAGATTAAAGCTGGTTTAAGATGGCAGAAATTCATTTTGGTCAGACTAGCTGTTAGCTCAACAGTCCTGTGAGACATAAACGCTATTTATGTAAAAACTCCGTGTTCAGGGTGCTATCTATCTATAAAATAGGAAACATGGTAGTGATTTGAAACATTTAAAAGTTATAGGTGTTTCTCAAACTAAAGTCAGCACAAAAAGTAATGACATTTGTGAGTGATTGATTATTTCTTTATTGTGACTGTTCTCTTAGGGAAGGCTCTTGCTTATTTTCTCTGTTTAAACCTTACGCCTTGATGCATAAAACAGTTTTAAACATGGAAACCACCTCCTCTGGGGACAATCCTTCTCAAAGGTCTATTGGGCTCGTTGCTCTGACGTTTACTGTAATTTAAGGAGGTAATGAAAGCAGATGTGTGTGTGTCTCTGAATTGTTGCTGGATCACCTCAAAGTTAAGCACCACTAATGGAAGTAAAAGGAAATGGTGCCTTTTACCACAGCTTAAACAGCTCATTATTAGTCAGGTTGTTATTGCAAAATGCAGGGCTGCCAACTCGCACTCACTTAGCGTGAGACACACGCATTTGACCCTCTTCACACGCTCTCACGTCGCACATCTAATATCTCACGCTAAACCAGCGCATGCCCTCCCCAAACGCGCATCACGCACAGTGTGTAGGGCTTATGAAAAAAAAGAAGATGAAATTAATTATAGCATTAGATGCTGAACAACATGCACACAAACAACACTAAAGTACAGTGGCGGATTTAGCAATTTGGGGGCCCAAGGCGAACACAGACATGGGGCCCCTTACACCAAATTTTCAATAATCTTACCTTTAACTGGATTTGCGAAACTACCCTCTTCTGACATGAGTTATTTTCCCTTTTTATTAGTCCTCATTTTTCCTGTCTTTCTCTCCATTTGAGTGCTTTCAATATTTGCTCTGTTTTCTTCTTTCTGTCAGTGCTCCTGTGCTTTTGCCTTTGTTTATTTTTTCTATTTTCCATTTTGATCTATGTTTTCCTCCCTTTAAACATTTTCCATTGTCTTTCCTTTTTGCTTCCTTTGATGTTTACATTGAAAAACGACGTCACTTTCAGAAGTGAAAATAAAATCTTTTATGAAGCATGCTGCTTCTTTCTCTTATTGGAGACATTAGGATAACTGGGCTGCATGGTGGCGCAGTGGTTAGCACTGTTGCCTCGCAACACGAAGGTCGCAGGTTCGAAACTCGGCTGCGGCTTTTCTGCGTGGAGTTGTGTGTTCTCCCCATGCATGCGTGGGTTTCCTCCGGGTACTCCGGTTTCCCCTACAGATCACAACATGCCCTATAGGTAAAAAAAAATATATATTGTAAGTCGCTTTGGGTAAAAGCGTCTGCTAAGCACATAAACATAAACATAAACTCCATTTCATGCTTAATGTTTTGACTACTGCTTCGAGTTTGTTACGAACGTTACCGCCTCTCTTATTATTATTATTTGTGGTCTTATGGCACTTGGCAAACAACAATTTGGTGCATTACCACCACCAACTGGATCGGAGTGGAATGACTACCATCCATCCATCTTCTGAACCCGCTTTGTCAATGCAGGTTTTTTTTTGGGGGGGTTGGTGCCTATCTCCAGCGGTCAACGGGCAATCAGGCGGCGTACACCCTCGACAGAGAGCCAGTCCATCGCGGTGACTACTAGTTGCTTCCTTGTAGTGCATCACCCTCTTAAATGAATAGTCCATTGTGGCATTAACAGAGGGGTGCTGGCGGTCAGGGCAAGGGGCCCCCCCACCACAAGGGGGCCCCAGGCGGCCGCCGACCTATGCCTAATGGTAAAACTGCCAAGTAATAATTTGACTGGCATTATTTCACACAGATTCCTATCTGTATAGCCGATGTGCTTTTTTGCGCTCTGGTTGCGAGATGGGCGGAGCGGTGAGCTCCACCTGCTGTTGATGGGACGGGCATGCCCGGTTCTTTATTCCAGAATAGTGAGCTGCGGCTGCACGCGCACACATGCTTTATTTAGAAATGCAGTTGCGTCGCCAGCCGGTGTTGACGGCGCTTCAGTCCCGAATGTTTTTCTTTTGTTTTCACTCATCAGCCACAGATCGCTACTCTCGCTCACAGCAAGCTGGCTTTCTACTGTGGTGACTCACTCACATGTTCCCTCTCCTACATTAGTTGGTGACGCAGTGAATTAAAACATTTGGAATCCTAATGTTTTAATTCACCGCTTCACAAGTGCATTTTTCCTGTTTGTGAGACGAACTCCTCCTCCATAACCAGATTACTGGTACGGAAGCCTGGAAAGGCCAGAATTCCTCAAACGTTTTTTTTTTTCACTACTGGCTGATATGAATTAATATAATAGAATGGAGTAAATTTTATTAGTCCCACAGTGGGGCCATCCACTCATTACAGCAGCACACACACTTAGAGAAACAGATTACAGTAAAATATGTTTGCTTTGATAACTTCAATAACTTCATGCTAATGACCCACATGAACATAATCCTGTTTAGTGGATTCAACTACATCAATGAAGTTAGCTTAACATGATAGATTTTTTTTCTTGGCAGGAAATAATAACTGGTAATATTATGAATGACATGATATTGCCCAGCCCTAGATGGAAATTAAAAAAATTACATTAGTTATAATTAAAAGTTCCTGTGTGACATTTGTGACACGTAGCTGTAACTCTTTACTGCTGATGGATAGACAGACAGACAGACAGATAGATCAGGAGAGTTGGATGTTAAATTTTCCTCACAAAAAGAAAATTTGTATTAAACAAAGGTCAGTTCCCTCTGTAAAGTCAGAGGTACGGAAGAGGATTAGGGCCCCTGAAAAGAAAAAGAATTCTGACATTTTCCCAGAATTTCCTGTCAGAATTCCGAGATCGAAAATCAGAATTCTGAGAAAAAAGTAAGAATTCTCTTTCTTTTCTTTTTTTTCTCGTCAGTGACTCTAATCCTCGTCTGTACACACACACACACACACACACACACACACACACACACACACACACACACACACACACACACACACACACACACACACACACAGTCTAAACGGTCGGCGAATTATCCGCTCCCAACCCCATGACCCCTACTCACTCTTTGAAATGTTCAAAAGATGGCAGCCCTGAAAATGAGTAATTGCAGCTATTTTGACTAAAACACCCAAAATTAGAGCCACTAATTACCAGCTTTTTTTTCAAATTTCATAAATATTTGTTTTGATCATTGAGTAATTATAAAAGTTTGGTTAAAAAATAAGAGGAATCAGCTTTCACGTTGAGCATTAGCTACTTCCATCTGCTTTTATTTTGTAAAAAAAAATCTTTTCCTGAACATTTCAAGTTTATTCAGTAGTAGAGTTAATTAATTGAAATAAACATATATCCACTGTTGCTTTACAACCTGAGAGGTTAAAATGGGCCTGTTTGAGTCATCTTTAGTTGCTTTCTATGGAATCTGGTAAAATTGTGGAGATCTGCTGAGTCTTTTTGGGTCTAGCTGCTGCTGCTTGGTCCACAGTGTGAGACGAGCCAGATTTAGCTGAACCCAGCGGTTGTTTGTAGTGGAATGAATAACGGTGACCTTAACCAACTTATGACACTTTCCCGCTCAATTTAACCTCACCTTGCTCATCAGTGCTGCCCTGTTGGCCTCCTCGAATGACCAGTGAGCTCTTATTGAGCTGCTTGCATCGTCCTATCGAGGTTTAATCAAGTTGTAGATCCAACCCCCCTCCCCAGTGGTCTTATTTTCATTTGTGTATTTCACATGCTAAGGATCTGTTTGTTTAGGTTTATTTGGGATTTTTTCTTTTAGTTCCTCGTGGTGTGATCCAAAATGGCGCTTGTGTCCGGAACCAAGCCCTGTTTCCTGTCATCAGACCCCTTCCCGTGAGCCCAATGGGGAGCAGAACCTCCGCCTACAGGTGAGTAAGCTTATCTTGTATGAATAATGTTGTGGGATAGTTTGAACCTTCTCATTTGCACAGATGTTCCCGGTTGATGACATCACTTGTTATTTAAATCAGGTTTACATTTTTACACTGGTGATACTGTAATATTCACACCCATGCTGGCTCTAGATACAGTGTTATAAAATGTAAAGACACACTTACCTATGTCTGCTGAATGCAGCTGGTCTGACTTTTCAACTTACATAAAATGACACAGATATAATTTATTATAAGGTGACTTTGAGTCAGTTGCTTATTATAAGGTGACTTTGAGTCATATGTTCAGGCGTAAATTCATCAATGGTTACAGTCTTTGGTCCTGGGTTTTTATGTTAAAGAGGTAGTAGAATGTAAAGCAACATTTTCCTTGTTGTTGTTGAATAAAGACAGCTCGGGTGGTCAAATGTAGCATACCAAAAAGTCAAAGCCATGGGTTTGCTTTCTACGTAAAATAGAAAAGTAAAAAAGGTGAGAGAAAAACTCAGATCCAAAAGTGCATTTTCGGTTTTCGGACGAAACACTAAAATCACCGAAACAGGTTTTGGTTCAACTCACCCTGCCCTCATGTGGCAATTTGTTCTTTGCTTTATAAATTAGTATATTAGTATAAATTTTTCTGCTGCTTTTGATCCACCCTGTTCTTCTGATAACGACCCAGATTCCTTAGCTTCTCAGTTTAACGAGCACTGCCTCTCCATTCTGGACAACATCTGTCCTGTCAGAACCAGATCAGTTCCTGCAGTGAACCCTACTCCCTGGTTTAATGACAGCCTTCGCAGCCTGAAGCGCCAATGCAGACAAATTGAGCGCTTGTGGAAGAAAACCCATCTCCACGTCCATCTGCTGCACCTAAAGAATCTTCTGACATCCTTTAACTCTGCAGTCAGAGACGCTAGGGTTTCCTATTTTTCCAACCTGGTGTCTCAGAGCAAAGGGAACCCCAAGGTGCTCTTTACTACCATCAGCAGCATCGTCTCTCCTGCCACTCCTGCAGCCTCCATCCACTCTGTTGCAGACTGTGAGAACTTTCTGTCTTTCTTTGTGGACAAAGTCAGTAAGGTTAGATCTAGCATCTCTCCTTCAGCCGTATCGCTGCCTCTCCCAACTCCAACCAGGCACATCATCCTAGGTAGCTTTGCTTCTGTTTCTTTGCTTGAGTTAACCAAACTAGCTAACTACGAAGACCCCTCGACATCTTACCCTCATCTTTGTTTAAAAGTGCTTTTCAACTTTAGGTCCTCCACCACCTCTCTTACCATGGTGTCCCACAAGGTTCTGTGCTGGAGCCTCTGCTCTTCCTCCTATATCTGCTTCCTCTTCAGCACATCCTGAGCTCCTTCAAAGGAAACTCTTACCATCTTTATACAGATGACATCCAACTGTACATCTCCTTTAAGCCCCATGAGATGTCTAAGCTGCCTGAGCCTGAGATCAGTGGACTCCTTTGATTTGGGTTGGGGGGGGGGGGGGGGGGGGACTTTTAGGTGGAAAACAGTCATTTCATTCCATTACATGGTGCACCCCTAATTTAGAATGATGGCTTTAGTCATCAATGGCAATGAATGAGTTAAAAAAATTGCGTCATCTGGGAGAAGAACAAGGTACTTTCCTTTCCTTCCATTCTCACTTATTTAGCATCGATTAGCAGTGGCTTCCTGTGAACACACTTGAGCCTCACACATCACACGTAGCACACTTGATCCAGGTGTGTTTACATCATGGTGTCACACACAAACAGGTTTATTAGAAGCCATTCAAAGAACATTAGCTGCATTTGTGGACATGCACATCCATCAAAAGAACATCAGAGTATAATGGTCAGCTTAGCATAATGAATTAAACATACCCGAAAGGTTCACTGAAGGTATGCAGTGAATATTTGATCACTGTAAGGGCTACATGTTTTTCTTATGCGATATTAATATGCTAACCCTTTCATTCTGGAGGGGAGAGTGTCTGTGGGGACGGGGGGAGGCACACTACTGAAGCTCCTGTTGATTTATGGCTTGTCAGGATGCCCTCACCTCCCTCCCCTCTCTGTTCTTTAATGCCTTATGCAAAAAGAGTCCCCTGGCTAATAGACCAAAATAGGATGACACAGGGGCTGAAGCATTGTACAGTGGTTAAATAAAGCCATTTGGAGGGTTGGGTTTAGGGGGGGGGGGACTGTCCTTCATACTACTGAGCAGAATTCATGGTTCCATCAATTACAGCAAATGGTTCTAAAGCAGCAATGCAACCACAGACAATCATACCCTCGCTGCCATGTCTGACCGTTGGTTTAACGTTTTAGAGACACACACCTTCTGGAATGCTTGACTTTTGTCTTACCAGCCCACGGTGTCCAGGTTTGGACCTAAACTCAGGAGAGCAGGTACAGGAAGCAGACTGGCTGGTGAAAATAACTGTTTTATTTGGATAACGGCAGACAGGATGAGAAGACAAGACAAGGATCTGACAAAGACTAGCACAAACAAAGGGTTTAAATACACAAGGATAATCAGGGTAACAAGGGACGGGGGGTCAAATAAACACTTACTTACAAGGGGATACGAGACATAAGAGACACCAGGGGCTGCAGGAGCAGATCCTGACACACACAGAAAATTTCCTAAAAGTATTTCAGCAGATCAGGATTCTCTTTAAATTTCTTCTGTATGTTCATTCTGTGTCTCTTTTTGACTCGTATTTCTTGGTTCTTTTTAAACACAGAAAAGAAAAGTTTTCCTTTACCTTATTAGCTAATGTTTCAGCTACCGAACAACAAAAACAAAAGATGGATTAGAGAAGCTATAGTAATAAGGAGACGTGGGCACAGAGCCATGAACAGAGACGAGGGAGTATACACGTTAGGGCGCGGGCAGCAAAGGGCGACATTGTCCTATGCTGCCTGCAGGTAAACAGAGAAGGAAGTGACGCTGCCAACATGGTCACAGCTCTGAGGACGCTACAGGAAGTAGCTGAAACGTTAGCTAATAACGTAAAGGAAAACTTTTTTTTCCTGTCTTTAAAAAGAACCAAGAAATACAAGATACGGATTTGTTTTGCTGATTGTGAGATGGGTCTTTGTGTTATTTTTATTCACTAGAAAAGTTGGTCTTGGATGTCATCTTTGCTCCGTTATCTCTGAAGCTGGGGGATTGGTGGCCTATTTTGACCTGATTTTCCTCTGGGGCGAAAATCTTTGAGGTTTGGGCGAGTTTTGCATCGTGTAGCATACGGGGAGTAACGAGAAGCGATTAATTAAAACGTAATGACCAGCTCCCAATCAGCCATATGTGCGTTCACACAAAAACCAAACATGTTTGATATTTTACTCATCTCTCATAAGGGCACTGTTGAAGTAGCACTCCAACCCAAATGTTCCAGAACCATTCACACAGCGTAACGCAGCTGCCCAGCTATTTCGGTGTCTACACACTTCTCTTTTTACTTTTACACTTTTCTCCAAGTGCAGCGACATTTGTCAAGTAAACATGTTTGTCGTGTTTTTTTAAAATAAAAACAAGTTCCATCTCCTGTATTTTCCTCATGGACACTGTCTCCAAACCAGACAACACGGCCAGTCTCACTGCACCTTTCCTTTCATTCTTTTTAAAACCTTTTTATCACATCTGACACTTTCCTCCACCCATCCAACCTGCTTTACACACTTCTTCACCTCTTTTTGACTCTGTAGCTTTGAATCGTAGACCCTACTGTACATCCTTGGAGTCCTCTACCTTCTTTACTTCTACTCCCTGTAACATCAATGTTCCACTTGTGGCCCTCTCATTTACACACATGGATTCTGTCTTGCTGTGACTAATCTTCCTTCTTCTCTTTTCCAGCACATATTTCCACCTCTAGAGCTTTTCCTCTACCTATATCCTGCATTCATTTTTGTCTTTATTCACAGTTTTAATTCTGAATAGTTTACCTTTTCCCCCAGTTTTTTATTTACAATATTTTTTCATCTTTTTATTTTTGTCTTTGTGATGGACCGCACGATTTTTATCTTGAGAGGTGCTATATAAAAAATGTTCTTCTTCTTCTTCTTCTTCTTCTTCTTCTTCTTCTTCTTCTTCTTCTTCTTCTTCTTCTTCTATCTCACACCTCTTTGAGGTTCTGCACCACTCTAACCCCTTCTTTCCACCGGAGCCGTCAGCAGCACGTTACTGCAGCAGCACGTTGTGCTCGCGTAAACTGCTGCTTGGCCCTTCCCACGAGATGCGAAGCAGCAGGGGAGCAGCTGTCACCGACAGAGCACGAAGTCACACGAGTTACTTCGTCAGTAAACACAACTACAAGCAGGAGAAAACTACAACATGGCTCCAAAATGTTTGTGTTTTATGTTCTGTCCGTTTTATAATCACCAATACGGACCTGAAAAACAAAGGAGACCGCTAGCTAGGTGATAACCTCTCACGGGGCTGCACGGTTAGTAACCTTTTTTAAAAGTCAAGCAACTGGAAGGCAGTACGTTTCTTTATTCTGAAAATCTCGGGAGCTTCGCTCTGTTTCCCCGTCCGATTTCCTGTCTTTCCTTCCCCAAAAATGTCGAACTTGACCCGTTTCAGAGGCGTCGCGCGTAGCAAATAGAACCGGCGTGTAAGTGCCGCGACATGCTGCTCCTGAGACGCGGCCGACTCGCGCTGCTGACGGCTCCGGTGGAAAAGGTTCTGTTGACCACAGCGGTTCCTATCAGCAGCTATGACGTGCTGCCGCAGTAACGTGCTGCTGACGGCTCCGGTGGAAAGAAGCGGTAACTCTTTGCACCCTGTCATACAATGTCTCAAAAGATACAATGCACATACAGTGGGCGTGCAAAAGCGTGGGCAGCTTTGTTAATCTTCATGATTTTCCTTTTTAATGGTTGGTTGTTATCATAAAAAAACTTATAGGAGACACACACAGTGATATTTGAAAAGTGAAACAAAGGATTTACATAAAATGTGCAATAATTGTTTAAACAACATTAGACAGGTGCATAAATTTGGGCACTCTTGTCATTTTATTGATTCCAAAACCGTTGGAACTAATTATTGTAACTCAGAATTGGTTTGGTAGGCTCAGTGACCCTTGACCCCCATATACAGGTGTTTAAGGGGGCTTATTGTAAGTTTCCCTCCTGTTTGAATATTCTCTGAAGTGCAGCAACATGGGGTCTCAAAACAACTCTCACATGATCTGAAATCAAAAAATCAAAAAATATATATTACCATTGCGGTAATATTACGCCGATATGCCGGCATGGTGTGTCCTATAAAAGCACCTATGTGACAAAGCTGAAGCCGCACCAGGGTTGGATCTTTCAACAACACAACAACCCTAACCACCGCTCATTCATGCAGAGGAACAAGTAGAACGTTCTGGAATGGCCATCTCAGTCCCAAGATCTGAACATTATTGAAAATATGTGGTGTGAGTTAGAGTGAGCTGTTCATGCTCAGAAGCCATCAAACCTGAATGAACTAGAGAAGTTTTGTAAAGATGAATGGTCCACAATATCTTCAACCACTCTCACTGGAAGTTGTAGGAAGTGTTAGAGGTTGTTATTTCTGCAAAAGAAGGATCTAGTAAATACTGAGTTTGTTTCTTTTTTGTGGTACCAAATTTATGCACCTGCCTAATTTTGTTTAAACAGTTATGGCACACTTTCTGTAAATCCTATACACTTTATTTAACTTCTCAAATATTCCTGTGTGTGTCTCCTATATGATACATTTACCTGAAACTGTTTATTGCAACGATTTTTACAGAAAAGTCATGAAGGTTAAAAAAGACCGCTCAAACATCTGCACCCCACTGTACTTCTGACCTTCTCTATACTTCCTCATCAACATCCTCAAAGCAACAATAGCATCTGTAGTGTGCCTTCTTAGCATCAAACCATTCTGCTGCACTCAAAAGCTCACGTCTGACCTAGCCCTAGCTTCCACCACTCTTTCCCAGAGCTTCCATTATAAGACTCCATTGTAAGCCATCTCCACTGCCATGTTTTAACCATATAAATATAAATAATCATATTTTAGGGTATATAACAGGGTTTGATGTGTTGCTTTTTGAGATCTTTTAGCCTATTTCATCTTCCGTTTGAAGTGATTTATTAATTATACATGTCTACAATAATCAGGACTGGGCGTATCTGGTGGAGCTGAACTCACTTTTTTTTTTCAATAAAGCCAGGCAGTTTGGGTTGCTTTGCTCCCTCAGAGAATGAAATTTAGGGCTGCACAATATATCGTAAATATATCGTTATCGCGATATCAGCATGCACAATATGCATATCGAAAAGACCAGATAAATATCGCAATGAATGGTCAGCTCAAATGTTTGCTACACATAATGCATTCTGTCAATCAAATGGAAGCATGATGTTTTTTAACAAATCAAATAGAGCTCTTCACCCATTTGGCCAATTGAGTGGGTTCTCATAGGTCAGATGCCCGCCCCTGAGGCAGACGGCACCTAATTTTAATGGTTAGCAAACACCTGAGTTAGCTTCGTTAGCTCTTTCTGCTGATTCTGCTTTTCTTGTTCATTTTCTTTTTCCCTTTCCTCACATCTTTTGCATTTCTCATTTTTATTTCTTTGTTTTTAATTATTTTTGTTCCCGTGTTAAGTTTTTATCGCAAGTAATATCGTCATTGCAATATTTATCACTGTTATCGAAAATCGCAGGTTTTCCTAATGTTGTGCAGCCCTAATGAAATTACTATTTTAAAACAGCATTTTACATGTTCTTGGTCTGATGCTGACATTTCTTTGCTGATTTCATTGTTAAAAAGCAAAAACAGAAGTAAGTGCTTTTTTACTTTTTAATGCGTTTGGTGACAATTCAACAGCCAGCTCTCTGTTTTAAAGGAGAAACTATTTTTAGAAGGTGTTTTTATCTGACTTGAGGAATGTTCACTTGAGGCTCAAGCGGCCATTGGAGGGTGACAGATTGTGAAGTTTTTCTTCTTTCTTGCCAAATACAGAGCAAACTGGGGCTGAATCAGTGGAAGGCTGGCCACCTGGCTGGCGGCAGGACAGCAGGAGTAACGTTGTTCTCTACATGTCCTTGTTTCATACAGATCAACCCTTGGAGAGTATCTAAGTTGTGGACAGGACAGCCCCTCCCGTTACTCTCCTCCACTCTGTGGCGAGGACCTCCAGGACGACCATACCTACAGCACTGCCAAGTCTCCCAGCAGGCTATCCTCCTCCCAGGTTGACATCCCAACTTCCCCTCTGGACGAAGACGACGACATCATCGCCGTGGAGATCCAGTCGGACGTCAAGCCCGAGCCACGGGAGATCCCACTGGATTCACACATCGCCACTGCCGCTGCTGCTTATATCTCCCAGCAGGCCCTGCGTGGACAGAGACGCAGCTCGGGCGCGGGGGGCGGGACTCTGCCAGGCAGCAGCCTGCCCTGGACCAAAAGCCGAGCGAGGGGCATTAGTGATACGCTGCCGCTGAAGAAACGGCGAGCGGTGGAGAAGCCGCCGGAGAGTGATGATGAGGAGATGAAGGAGGCGGCAGGGTCGTTGCTCCACCTGGCCGGGGTTCGAGCCTGCCTCAACAACATCACAAACCGCGCCGCCAAGGGCCAGAAGGACCCCAAAGAGGCTCTAAGAAACTAAGACACACACGGAACAAACTGACACACAAATACACAACTCGATCAACAGGTAACGATACAACAGCATCAGTCTCTACAGACTCTTGTCATCTCCCTCTATCTATCTGCAGGGCATTAGGTGAATCCTACTTATTTGTGGCAATATCAAAAATCTATGTTTTCCTACATGTTCAGCAACACTAACATCGATGGGTATTTCTCATGTGTCTATGTTGTTTTCCTCGTTTGAAAAGGGGATGAAAGCCATAAAAAGCATGTTTTGTCTCTAATTTGGGCAAGCTGAAAAAAAAAAGGTCACACAGGGAGAAACGCACAGCATGGCGACGGAGGACGGCTGTTTGTCAGTAGTTTTTTGTTTGTTTTTCCATGTTGAATCTGTAGCAATCTTGCAGTGATGCCAGCAAACACAACGGAGACCTGGCGCTCTCGAGCATCGCTCTCCTTACCAACAACCCACGAGCACAAACGTGAGACTGTGCCAAAGATAACGCGACCAGGTTGCTTCATGTAGCGACAGCTGACGGGGAGAGGAAGAAGGCAAAAATATATATAAAGTTAAGAGCTAGAGAGTGTCAAAATAAGAGTCAAATCCAATGTGATGTACTTCATGCACTTCAGATTATTTTACGCCACTTCTAGGGAAAAGCATCATGGGTAAAAACATGGTTCATTTCCAGAGCACTCATAATATTTAAATATATAAAAATGAAAAAAAGTTATGTTTATCTCCATAGAGATGGATAGTGTGCCGGGTTTGAGGCAATATCTCCTTCATTTTGTCGTTGTTGCATTGACGTCCTTGAGACTTCCTAATACCTCTGTCCATAGACACCTGGTATAGATATCAGAGCTGCCGGTAGCTGCCACAACTTCCTGTTCACACACGAACTGTGGATTCCTGTTCCTGTCTGTTTACCCTCAATCTACCCTCATAAAGATATAAGCAATTTGTCCCGTTGTGGACAACTCTGTAAAAAGGTTAGAAAATATTTTATTTTATTTCATTTTCTTAATTGAAGTAATTTGACCTGCAGGACTTTTCTCAGTTATAGTGCATGGGTGCTTGTAAATAAGATACAAAGCAAATCTTTTTTATTCAAAGATCATGTAAGATAAACAATGTATTTAGCATGAAGCATGACTTATTTTCATATAAACCTTGATCCTAGAGGAAAATAAAAATAAAAAAAATAAGAAAAAATCATTAATCCGCCAATTCTTATACCCGTGATTATAATGGAGATAGTTTCTATTCTTTTTTTTTTTTCCTGAGTGGGCTTTCAAAGACACGTCTTCAGGGAGGAACGAGGGCGAGCGCTCCCTGAGGGTGCCACCTCTGGGCTTTGGGTTCAGGCCAGCCAGGAGGATCACCTCTTTATGGCGGGGTCGGGGGTGGGCTTCTGTCTTCTGCCTGTACAGAGATTGTTTTTTTTTAATGTTCAGTGTTACGCCCCTGTGTTACTCCAGAACATGTGTGTGAATGAACACACATCATTTAACATTGTGCCTGCCTCCCTATCTGCCCTCAGCATCTCTGATGTCACAACAGACACGTTTACTTGTCTTTATTTATGAAAGTATTGTTTCTGATTGGTTTTCTCCAGTGTGTAAATGTACATGTGTCCTTACTCTCCATAGACATTGTTGCGTGTAAGTGTACGGATCAGCTTGACATGGAGAACTTCGTATGTGCCCTGAATGAAGCTTACATTTTCAAATAGATACGAGGAAGGGGAAACACAGAAACCTGTCAAGCTAACCAGTTTGCTTCTAATCTGCATTCAGTATTTTTACCTCTTTGTTTTAAAAAATTGACTTGAAGTTGCGGAGGTCAGATTGGAAGAGCCAAGTCTGGTCAGAGGTGGCTTGTCGTTGTTTTTTTGTTTTTTTTTTCGCTGTTCTGCAAAGTAAAACTTTGGGTGATGCAAATGTTGTGGAAGAAATAATAACGGAGAAGACCCTGGTTGTATAAATAAGAATTACAGAGCAAATGAACGAAAAAACTCAATCGTTTTTGTTGCTCCAACCACTACAAATGGTGGACGCTGTGGGATTGAGACCATTCCATGCAGGATTAATCTAGAACTACTTTAACATAAAGAAATGTTGAAAAGGTGATCCCTTGGATGAGACAAGATGAATCCAGTAACTTTGCTGCTTTCAGATTAGTTATTATATTACCAGCCCTGCTCGAAGAAAACTGTACGCAGTCATAGGAGAAAAAGCTACAAGACAATAAATATTTAAAACCACAGATTAGACATAGCACCACATATTTCTCTTAAAGACTAAGGATGTTTCTCAGTGTCAAGGCGCCTAGCCTTGCGAGGCGATGTCTTGAGAGGCCAGGTGCCTTGCTTACGAGGACACGGTCCTTCCTTGGCCAAAGAAAACAGTTAAATCATGTGACACGGGAGGTAACGTTATATTTTATATGTATGAGTTTCAATATAAATGTACAACAAGGCTTTTACTTTTTAAATTGTGTATAAATTTGTTAAATTAAATATGTAAGTAAGTTACTACATGCTAGCCACCGAAGCTGCAACTACTGAGCGACTAACCAACAATAGATAACTTCTTTGGATCTAAATAAAACATATTAAATTAGCTGACTATACTTTTAAACTTGAAAATTGCCCCCGAAGTAGCTGCCGGGTTTTGACCCGCCATCCTTTTGAAAATACTGCGGTGTATTCTGGGAAATTTTTGACCAAGGCTACGCTAGCTAAAGGGCTAACAAATGGAGAACGCACGCCTCGGTAGAACATGAACATTGGAACACATCTTGGCAGCTCCTGATGACGTATCTCATAGGCAACCGGGGCGGGGCCAAGACATCAAGGCACGGTTCCTTAGCACTGAGAATACCCTAAATGAAGCCAAGTGGGTGCTCCTACTAGACCCTCTTTGTCCAAATAATTCCATGATTAACAGCCAACCACGAACACACAGAAGACACGCTTAAAGTTCAGAGTCAAAATGGCCGAACATCGAATAACATGAGACCGAGGCTAAGGCCGTACCCGGAGCTAGCAGCTAGCACTAGCTCTGACGCTCATGCTACCCTTTCAATCAAATCTAATGTCATTTATTTTTAACCGTTATTTATCCAGATGAGTTGTTCATAATTTTAAGTATTAATTACACCTAAACAAAGCGTTATAGTAAAATTCACCCTCTCAGAGTTGTCATGACTGTAAATTAGATCTATTAAACCTAAAATGCTTTTTGAACCAGGCTGTAAACATGTTTATTTCTGCTGTGAAGTTATTCTTAACATGGGAGTCAATGAGAATTAGCTCACTTCTGGTGCCCACCCCTTGGGGATGAAGGTGGAACTGCAACTTTTTGTCACTCGCGGGTTCCCCTTTATTAAAATCACACCCTTCAAAATGTCCAAAGTATCCTTTCAAGCAAACATCCTCAAAATATCCTGCATTTTCTGAGCAAAGCAATATCAAATCTCTCATGGAGCTCTTTATAAAAAGTAAAGTAAAAAAGAAGAAAATATCATTTCTACAGCGCCTCTCAAGATAAAAATCACGAGGCGCTTCACAAAAACAAAAAATTTAAAAATTTAAAAAAATTTAGAAAATGGTTAAAAATATATTTAAAATGAGCAAAAAATAGACAATTGTGATTAAAAAAAATGTTAAGAAAGAGAGAGAGTGAATAGGAAAGAGGGAAATCAGTGGATCCTGAGGAAGGTGGAATAGGTGGGGAGAGCAGAATAAAGACACAAAACAAAACAAAACAACAACACATAACAAAACATCAGTAAAGGATTGTAGCAACCTTTTTAGAAGCTGGTGGCTAATAGTGAAGTCATCCTGAGACTCCTACTAGACCTCTCACTGCTGGCGTTCTGACCAATGGAATGAAAAAGTAACAGTAGAGTTAAAATGATTCTAGTGCACTATAAGCTTAACTCATTGTGAAAATGTAGAAATAATAATATTAAAAAAATCTAACGGTGGAAATATAACCAGATAGTGAATGTGCAAGCTCTAATGTTGGTTGCTAGGCAATGGTGATGCTGTCCCTCATCCACTGGAACAATTTACAATGCGAAAAATAGAATGGTGGTTGTGGAAGATTAAAAAAAACTAGATTTCATGGTTTCTATTTCATTTTATTGAAATAAAATGGAAACAAAAGATGTACATAAACAGGACATTTGGGAAGCAGATGCAACATCAGATCCATGTGACTAAAGTTATTACACCTTGTGAGTGCTAGTGTTCTAGTTGATCTTGTTATCCGCGTTACAAATGTCAACTTTTGTCCAAATCTGTGAGGATTAAAGAAGAAAAAGTCAGAATTTGATCAACACGGGCCTGTGTCTGAATATCTGGTTGAAAATCATCTTAAAATTCCACATTTGGTTTTCAAAATCCTCCGACCAATTCTCAAGCATTTTTAAACATATCAGAATATCTACCCCGTGTTTAGGAAATGGTTTTAAGTATAACAGTAAACATGCCATATGTAGTCAAAAGTCTAAAATCATTGTAGACCAGCTCAGTTCCTGCTCACAGACCTCACTCGTCCATGCTTTCCTTTCTGTATTCATCCAGATACATAATTCAGATAATTCAGTACTTTAAAATGCCACACATAAACCCTGGTGAAGTTAGCTAAGCAGTAGCGTGTTTGTCTTTAGGACTTGCTGAGAGGAAGGAAAATGTTGTCTCACTGAGGGATTATCTGCTCATATGAGGAGTCGTGTACGGCCCCTCGTATGCTCAACATGTCTTTATATTCAGTTTGTAAAATTCAAAAACATTGGGTCTTCTTGTATCTTTGTCACTTCGACCACAACAAACGGTGACAGATTGAGACATGTCTGCCGTAATCCGGTCGGTTTGTGTTTCAGCCTTCGTCAGTCAGATATAAAACAGCTGATGCAGCAGTTTGGCCTTCAGAAACATCTATATTCTATTTATTTGCACATATTGAAGATGGTACTAAATTAAAAATGTCCATTTCTGATGGGGATGCATAAAAGTGTTCATTTCCTCTCATCTGCAGAGACCCAGCAAAGTTAAAAAGCTTTTCAGGCTCAGACGTCAGCTGAGGTCCGTAGCAGCAGAAACGGATGGGGGGCTTTGTTTGAGCTGAACAGGCGCTGAGCGATTATCAGCGAGCCGAGCAGGATAAACAAACACATGTCCCCATCGCCACCTGTAGCATGCGTCACCCGTTGCATTCTGAAACGCGTCCACGCCTGCCGACGTATGGAAGACGTTGTTAGCGCTGGACGTGTGCTACCCGTCTCCCATCTGTCTGAGTAAAAACCGCCACCCGGGTCGAGCACTCTGCTGCGTTTCATGTAAGAGTCCACGAGCTGACAACTAACGTGTTCACTTGTCCGGGGAGAGAATGTGGTTTCAGCAGCCATCTTTCTTTTTCATGTGACTCATTATGTGGCATGTGGTGAAGATGAATTCCTGCCCGGGTCGTTGTAAGGGTTTGAACCAAACACACCTGCAAAGAAATATGTCAGATTAATAAAATAAATGCCACTGCCTGAAAATACCCTAAGAAGGTGTTCTTTTTAAACCTGCCTAACACAGTACGATAAAATAAAGCATTGCAAATATTCTAACTTTTTTTTTATTATTATTATTGCCAAATATTTAAGTCTTTTTTACACCTGTGCCACTATTTTTGGTAACGGTCTGAAAATTGGAAAGCCATAGGTTAGAGATGTCAAAAAGCAAAGCTGTCATTGATCTGTGAATCGTGATGCAGAGTACACCCTGGTGTTATCCTTGTTTTGTTTCTTTTTCCATTTGTTTCTTCTGGGTTTTTTTTCCAACAAGTTTTCTCCTTATCGTGCAATCATGCTGCCAAAGAATGATTTCAAGACCTATTTCATCACTACATGTAAATATCAACATTGTCCAATACCGTGGCAAAAAAAAAGATATATAAATGTTGTTTTATTTTGTTTTCCGTTTTCTGAGAAACTACAATGATGTTTATGTGATGTATTGTCTTCCAGTTGGTTGCAATAATAAAAAAATACAAGTTGCAGAGGAGAAGTTTGGCTGTTATTTTGTTATTGCTAAGCAAAAGAGAATTGGGATGACCAGTTTCCTTCTCGTAAGTCTCACTGGTGCGGCGCCGTCTAGAGAACTCTGAATTGCCCTTAAGCTTGACCCCGATCATTAACCTTGAGTATTCCCATCAACGTGGGTCTTATCATACACATGCCGCCTCTGCCAGTTAATTATTCATTTACTTCCCCTAATCATTTAAGTTCAATCCCTATGATTAAAGATGTCACCCTCCCCCCCTCCTGAGAACAGAAAAGAAGAGTCGGGGTGTACCTCATCGGCTTATCGGTCTAAGGGGTGCCATTTTGAAGCCGTGTGGCTGTGGAAGCCCATTCATAATTGAAGCAGAGCACAGGCTTAATCTTGAGACACTGTGCAGCATGCTCCCACCACAACACAACTGGAGCCAGCAGCTCTTCTGTTGCTATGCAACTATAGCAAAGAAGAGGAGGAGGAAGATGGGGACGAGGGGGCAAAGAAGAAAGTGTGTGTTCTCTGGATCTTTTAGAGGGAATCACGTGTAGCAATGTGGTTGATTTGGATTTATTTCAGGTTTCAAACCTTCACGGGTGACCGGTAACACCCCAAAGACTCCAAGCCTGTTTCACTTTCTTTTATTCAATTGAGTTTAAAACCAGCCTGGTATAATGTCAGTTAGATTCTTGTTTTAAAAAAAAAACACTGATTAATTGAATGCGTCCATGCCTGTGACATCCACATCCTCAGAATGGCCAGTAAAGCAAGTTTCCATGGAGACAAGTGGAGGTTATGTTCTCTTTATCTGCTCGAGTGTATTGTAAAGCCTTCTGTTTGATAGAAAATAATCTCGCCAGGTGTGTTTTTGATCATTTACGTTTAAAAGTCATCCTCTTATTGAGTAACATGTAAACTAGCCAGCTGCCATAACCATGAATGTTTTTTTTTAGAATTAGGTTGTGCTTGTGTTATGTGGTGTGGTCACCCTCTGGTGGCTGGATGGTGTTACTACAAGAAAATTCCTCTTCTCTTAAAAGTGTGGATTACTCGTTTAATCAATGCAGGTGGTGCTCTGATAACTGGGCAGAGGGACGACTGGCTCATCTTCCAGTTCACTGCTGGGAACCAGAGAGGATGTGTCAGTGTTGGAGTTGATTAAAAGTCCGGTCTGTGTAGGACTTACAAAACGCACTGGCCATAGTAGGACTGCTGGTTGGTTCTGCTCTTCAGTTGAAGAACTGGATCCAAGCCCCACAAGGACCTCTTCCAGTCATCAGCATCTGATCAGAGGTGGGAGGTTAAAGGTCGCCAACAAAAAACTGATCAACCGAATTTAATTTAGCTAAGTTCCATTTTTTATTACTCTTGGTTTTGAGGTGCGTCTTTTAAATATCAAGATTGTTTACCAATGCCAGCCGCTGAACCGTAGGTGTTGATGATTCTGGGTGAAGCCTAAAAAAGCAACACGAACCGTGTAGAAGAAATATCTGACACTGAAATGATCTTTTTATCATCTAACTCACTCTGGGTGCAGCAGGTTGAGTTTTGATCTTCTTCCATGCATGGGGTCCAAAGTCCTCGTCGTAGGTGGTGGTGAATCTGTCTGAGGGGCTCACCTTATCAAACTGAGAAGAAATGGTCTTAATAGTTTAAAAGGACAAATATCACAGCTTAGCACATCTTTCTCAATCCCAGACATATCTGTAAATAAAACATCGTAGAAAAAAGCCAAACAAATCTCCAGATCTACGTGCATTGCCATGGCAACAAAACTAATCACCACATCTACTTAAATGTTATTAAAAATATTGTAAAATTATGTCACTTTTTATATATCTAAATGTAGTTTGGTGCTAAAGTCTCACAAAAAAGTAACAGTTTTGGGGTTTTTGTTGTCATCAACTCCTTCCCTCTTTCCTATTCACTCTCTCTCCTTCTTAACATTTTTTAATCACGATTGTCTACTTTTTGCTCATTTAAAATATATTTTTAATCATTTTCTAAATTATTTTTTATATTTTTACATTTTTTGTTTTTGTGAAGCGCCTCGTGATTTTTTTCTTGAGAGGCGCTATAGAAATGATATCTTTTTCTTCTTCACTGCCAATGACGACCAAAGTCGTCATTTGCATTTTTTTTACTGTTAAGGCATCAGAACGAGCCCCCGCGCCGACAGAACAAACATCTCAGCTCTGAAGCCAATCTTCATCCGCATACATCACACGTCACATGATCAGGAAGCAGAAAATCCATGAGATCATTTTGGGCCATTCCTGTAAAAAAAAAAGTGATTTGCGAACCGGAAAAGCATCTGCCAATCACATTTCGACAACAGGTTATGAAAGAACGGGTAACGCTCGAAACACGCGGATTCTTCCTTATGTAAGAGGTGAATCTCCTCTTTCTTTTGGTTGTTTTGGCGTCGATATCATCCTAGCGCACAACGTTGTGTCACTCTTAAAAAAACAGTAAAAATGGCGAGAAACGCTGGCAGCGAAGGCCTTTAGCGATCAGGAAATGGCTGGCAGTGAATGAGTTAAAGAGCAAGTCACCTCAAATAAACTTTTTTTTCTGATAAACTATACAAATGCGTGTCTAATCGTGCTGCAGACACGTGTAGTCAATAGTTTTGCACTTTAGTGCATTTTAGTTCAAGTTTAAATTTTCTGCCTAAAACTGTCAGTGTTGTGCCGTTGTCAGGTAAAAACTCCACACTGCATTTGAATTTAAATCTGCCATCGCTATTGGCTAAGAGGTACCCTAGAACGTTGGCTGGTACCATATGATGTCACAATGTCGTTGTGAGCCTGTGTGTGTGTTTATTTGTTAGTGGCTCCGCCCTCTCGGTCTGCTAGGCAACAGCATTTGTTGCATTTTTCAAACAGGAAGTGGGAGTTGAGTAAGAATCTGGCAGGGGGTGACTTGCTCTTTAAACTTTAACTGTCTTGAGCTCAATAATAAATAAAAATACTACACATCACCCTTTGGGGGATTATCTTAGATCTAAATAAAAATGTCATGACTTTAAATATAATTGTAAAAAATAATAAAAGTTAAATAATTTCTACTGTGAGGTTAGATTAGCCAATGGGCTACCTTTTTAGACAGCAACATTAACCACTTATTGATAGAAAACATCACAATACAGTTAGAAAGGTGTTAAAAGCTAATTTTATTGTTTAAACCCATGAAGTGTCACCAAAACGTCTTTATAGTGTATTTAGTTAAGAGGTTTTTTTTTGGCAAACTTCCTTTCTAATCCTAATGTTCAACAGTCTAGCGTCTTTTAGACGTTTCTGTCGCCCCCAAGCGGCCCAGCCTGATCACTGCACGGTTATCAAAGACAATTTTATACGTTTTCTTGTGTAAATGCAGCAAATCCAGCCATATTTAACTCAGATTAATGGAAAATAATATATTTACCATTAGAAGAGCTGGTGGATCCATGATTTTTTTACTTGTCCTTGCCAAAGTCACTTCACTATTCAAGCATGTCTCCATGGTTAGAAACTGTAAGGTTTTTGTTTAGTTTGACTTTGCTCTCTAAATTGGTGTTGACAGGTTGGTCGTAAACATGAAGACAGAATATTTTTTTCATTCTTAAAAGTATTTAGTGGGTTTTATCTATTTTACTAGCCTGGCAAGCCAGACTAAATAATATATTTGCAAAGCAAGAGTTTGGTCTAGTTCACTAGGCTACTATTTTACAACACCTTGTGTACAGATAAATACCCTAAATCTCATCTCAGAAGATCAAATGATTGTTGTACTCTTTTTTAAATAATTAAAATAATTGCAAATATGGTAATAAATAAACAGCACTTATCATTATTAGTAGTAAGAATACCACAATTAATGGAAATGAAACATTATTTTAATAAAATCTCTCTTAAATTGTGGTGCTTGTTGAGTTTTACTGTCATCCATCACCCTCTAAAATGTCTTACTGATGCATTACTCCGGTGGATCATTTCCCCTCCTTGCTCTTAACACATCTCAGATGTTTACTGGTTAAAGATTTTTAACAAAACACAAAGTTTCTGCAAATCACCAGTATTTTTATTGTAAATCATGAGTTTAAATGACCAATAGTTAGCTTTAGCTGATGCAGTGAGTGCTGGACCAAGTCAAATGCTTTCTGCAAGGATTCAACAACCTGAGAAAGTGATGTTCCAAAACAATAGATGATTGTGTCATCTGCATACAAATGGATATTAGCATCTTTAATATTTTGGCCCAAGTCATTGATGTACAAGATAAATAGGAGGGGCCCCAGGACTGAGCCCTGGGGCACCCCCCTCCGGACAACCCCAAGATCAGAGCAAAGATCCTCACATTTAACACACTGTGTCCTGTTAGTCAGGTAATTTGAGAACCATGCTACTGAGTGCTCTGACAACCCAAGGCTTAGTAATCTGTTTATTAAAATAGCATGGTCAACGGTATCAAAAGCTTTAGACAGGTCTATGAACAGTGAGGCACAAAACTGTTTCCTATCAAGTGCTACTATAATATCATTTACCACCTTCATAACAGCTGTAGTAGTGCTGTACCCTTTTCTAAAACCCGATTGACATTTCGAGAGGATGTCATTTATAGACAAAAACTCTTTTAGCTGAACACTGACAAGTGACTCCATTATCTTGGAAAGCACACTTAAATTTGATATTGGCCTATAATTTGTCAAAACTGCTGGATCTCTTCCTTTTAATAATGGTAAAACATATGCTGACTTCCACTGTGATGGAATTTCTTTGGAGTTAATTGAAAGATTAAAAAGAATTGAAAGTGGCTCTGCCACATAATCCGCTGCCATCTTTAAAAAATAAGGTTCTATAAAATCAGGTCCAGGTGGCTTTCTGTGATCTATGTTTTTTAAAGCTTTGTGAACTTCATGCACTGTAAAAGGTTTAAAGTTAAAAGGAGCTCCAGAAAAATTTTGGGGTATTATACCAGATTTTATCAAAGGGGTTCCGACAAAATTAAACAGGGAACCCACCGAAAGAAAATGTTCGTTAAAACAATTTAAGATTTCGAGTCTGTTATAAATTGGAACTGAATCTCTAAGAACAAAAGTAGGAAGAGCCTGAGAGATCTTTTCCACAGCAAAAGACTTGATCACTTTCCAGAATCTCTGAGGATCTTTAAGATTTTCTGTGGTGACTGATAGAAAATATTCAGATTTTGCCTTTTTGATCAGGGAAGTACATTTTTTTCTCAGCTGCCTGAAAACAGACCAGTCAGTAGTCAACTCTGTTGTTCTTGCCTTGTTCCAAGCTCTATTTCGTTCATGTATTATGTTTGCCAATTCTGGTGAAAACCAAGGATTTTCACGGCCAAAACATCACATAAAAGTTTGAACAATAAACTTCAGGTCCCACCAGTTCTTGTTAAAGAAGCTGCCAAGATAAAACAATCTTTAAAAAGAAACCTTGGATCAAATCACGTGCAAAATCATTCATGATTGAAAGAGTTATGAGCTCCAGTAATTCTAAAGTGGCCTGGTGCTTTAGTCACTATCCGCTGTTGAAGGTGTGCTGATAGAAGACATCAGCGTTGGTGGAGTAATCCATACGGATGGAGGAACCTAAACTCTGAACCCCAAGGCTAGCTCCGCCCAAAGCAGAGGACTGCTGTAAAGTCAGGAGGCTGTAGCCATGGAAACGGTCCTTCAACTTGTCTGATGATGCGGCTTTTTCCAGAACCTCTGTGAACCCTGCAGAAACACATAAAACATGCAGATGAGACTTCATCCAGAGGGTTTCATGGACCGTTATTACCATCAGCGACACAGACCCGGCTTCAGGAGAGACCAGCTCTTCCACACGGAGCCCACACACAGGACTGGCAGGCCGCGCTCACACCTTAATAACGCCTTAAACAACAAAACAGAAGAGAAATGCTCCAGTTTCATACATGCAAAAGTGAAACCAGAAGGCTTGTAGGTGTGGTCACCGGTTGAGCTGCAGGTAAAACTGACTCTACATGTTTAGCCAGAACTCTGCCAGCCTGAGCGAACACATGCTGGCAGAGAGCATCCCCAGCCTCCGCACCTGGGACACAAAACACTCAGGATGACACTCTATTGTCCTAGAAACCTGAGCAGAAGTCCTGCTGCTGCTCACCTTCAGCCAGCTTCTTACAGAAGCCAGCAAAGTGGGACTTCTGGAAGTTCCTGCAGAGGTGTGGAAGCATTCCCATCAGATCCAACACCTGGGAGTAATGTTTTAATTATTCTGGGTTTAAAAGAACAGATTTGTCTTTGTGTTGCTGCTGTCTGACCTGGAAGTTCTCCTCCATGGCTTCTCTAACCCATGTGATGTCATAAGGAGGCGCCACCAGGTTGTCTTGAGCGTCAAACACCGTCTTCACGGCCAAACGAGCGATCCAGAAAGCTGAAGAAGAGATATGATTAAGATCACTGTGGTAACCACTGTGCCGTGCTGCGACCATGCTGACCACAGCCCTGCTGCTTCAAGGTCAAGAGCTGAGTCCGGTAGCAGGCCTCCTGCGACCATGCGCGAAGCGTTAAAATATGCCCTTCATGTCTTGGATGAAGACCCATCAAAGACTAACAGAGTTCTTCTCCTCTCTTCTGCAGAACAGAGTGCACATCCTCCTGCACCTGTTGAACCTGCACATGACTCAGTCGCAACGACGAGTCCTCCAAAACTGAAACATGCCCCAACGGTGTGTCCTGTGGCAACTGTGAGGTTTGGTGAGGTTGCTTCCGTTAGCTCTAAACCTCGAGCATCCAATGCACCTGTTAGCAGGTCAGGTAATCCTTACTTACCAGACAAACCTCCACTAAAGTTTTTCTGCAGTGATATCATCCGTAAAGCTCCCAAGGAGAAACCTCACATCCCAGTGAACCTTGTGGGATCGCTTGGCTGTGGGGCTATCCTGGACTCTGGTTCGGACCTCACCATCATGTCCCGTTCTCTCTGGGAGAGTGTCTGCTTGGCTGCGTGCAGCTGAACAGGGTCGTGTCTTAACGCTCAGACCCTGCGCCGTGGATCTCAATCCTTTAACTCCAGATCCAATGGCCTTGTCGTCTGTAGCTTTCCTTGGAGTTTCGGTGGGTGGCATGTCTGCGAGACACCCAGTGTTTGTGTCTGACATTGAGGATTGTCCTTTTCTGTTGGGCGAAGAACTGCTCAAGCGCTTAAAGCATTTCATTCTACTCGGTGGATAATTGGATAATAACATTTTTATTAGTAAAAAGGCTTGGAGAAAATAATAATAATAATAATAATAATAATAATGATATTTAAAATAGAAATACCCTAAACAAATCTATACTGTATTATCCAATTAAAGATTCATATTTTATCAATTTAACAAAATATTCTCACATTTAAAAGCATTAATTATTTCTATATAACTCAATATCAAATTATCAAATACTCCTCCTGGCAGTGAAATCGTATTCTTTAGCGTTAAACTAACTGAACCAATAATAATGCAGAGCACGCTGCATTAAAAAGCCTGGTAAACTTTAATGTCAGGCTTTCCGCTTTAAAACTACATTTCCCAGAAGCAGCCACCCTGATTAGTCATCAAATTCCGCAAAAATCTCGCGAGATTTTCTGTCTGAACCTGCCCTATGTCTCGCGCACTCGCAGCTCCTTCGCTCAGTATATAAAGCAGGACAGCGGCGAGAGGAAGACGGCTGGGGAGTCGCAGCCCGGGACTGTAAATAAGACCGTGAAAACTGTGTTTTATTTACAAAAGTGATGCCGGCTGTTCTAAACGATCTTTCCCAGTTGTTTTAAGTCTTTTTTTGGTCATTTTTGGCTCTGTCTCTCGCCTATTTCCGTGTGGTTTTTACACTACGCGTATAATGGCGAGCTCGGCTAACTCGAACCCAGTGGTAAGGATCAATCTCAACGGACTGCCAGTCGGGGGAAACGGGGGTAAAGTTGTCTAGAGGATGTGGAGGAGATGGGTTTTTTTCAGATGAATATGCTTGAACTAGCTCATCACTCCTGAGTGAAATTATAAAGGAAATACTAACTTTGAATAAGCCATAATTCGAAACTAGATATTCAAATGAAAACATGGCACTGAAGAAGCTTCTGCCGAGGCAAGTTTTGAATGATTTTACATTAAATAATGCTGGTTAAAGTGAAAATTTGTAATTACTTCAGGTTGAGACTTTGTTTAGCGCTAGTGTGATCAGTGGCTGTTACGAGTCTTGGTTTATCATTTGGAGTCAGTGTTTGATCTTAGTGCCGTTCATTTAGCCCAGGGTGGATTATTGGACGAATTTGTTAGCCAGCTGACGTATTTGAGCTTAAATATTGGAAACCGCACATCTAATCAACAGACGTACCCAAAGCACATCGTCAACATCCACTTCCAAGTAAATTCAACTAGAGGATCTGATATTAAAAAGCCATTTTAGCGCAAAGTCTTGGACGCAGTCCGCGGCGCTGCCTCGTCGTGGTCCACCATTCCAGGACCAGAGGCGCAGAAAAGCGTCCCGAAACCCATTTTTGACCCATGATATCTCCGATGTCCTGCTCCCAAAACAAAGCCACCGAGTCAAAACTGGCAATTAAACGCATTAAACGAGAGCCTCTTTCTTTATTTGGCCTCATTTCGCTGAAAGAAATCGGCTCTGTGAGCGGGGCCGCTCCATAAAATGGCTTCCACCTCTCCCGTCTCGCTCGGTTCTGGCCCTCCTCCCTGCCGGTGGCTGGCTTTATACCGCCATATTGGCTGTCTAATATAGACTGCTGGGATGGGACGGTGCTACACGACGCTACGTCACCGGCCCGCATATAAACACTTCACTGAGCTTTAAATTGTGGAGGAACCGACTGTCCGAGGGGGAGGGAAGGACGCACCGAGGTGTCCACCGCGGACATCGAGGCAGGGCGGTATCTTGGCTGGAAAGTCTCCGCAGACTTGAACGCTACGGTTGAGCTAGTAACGCAGTCCCGGCGGACATATGTAATTGTTTATGTTGACAGACGCGGTTGTGGATAAGATCCGGATGCTGAAGCACAGTTTGGATTATAATGGAGCTGTGAAACATTAATCTTGATTTATGCCAGGGGCGTATCTGAGATTTTTCAGGGTACGGGGCCCATCAAGGGGCCACAAAATTTATAGAAGAGCCAAGTATTAGTTCAGTGCCCTTAGGACAGGATTGCTTTATTTGTCATTGAACCAGCGTCTTGGTGCGATGAAATGTAGTTTCAGTACAACCTCTCCAAGATCAGACCGGTAATGCAAATATGTAAAAATAAGTAATTGTGTGTGTGTGTGTGTGTGTGTGTGTGTGTGGTGTGTGTGTGTGTGTGTGTGTGTGTGTGTGTGTCCGGTTTTAAAGTACTTTAAAGGTACAATATTAAGGGATTTTACAGTCAAATAATCATGTTGGAAAGAAGGTAACATTGACACAAATTTCATCCTCATGAAGTTAAATATGTCATGAGCCGGACAGGAAGTGACAAGTGCGTCTGGTATATTTCAAAATAAAACCTGTGTCACATTATTTTTGCTGGCTTTTGTTTTATTATTGATGGCAGGGATATTAGTTTAGTGTATGATAGTTCATTAGTGTCGTTACAGGTGTGCCTTTAAATGTATTGTGTAGGACTTCCGCAAATGACGAATCGTGTCATGCCTAAAAGTGGCTGACTGCACCAGATGCTGTAAAATACCCATCATTAAGTTTGAAATGTGATAAGTTATGTGGCATTTAATAAAGACAAGATGATAGGTTATCAATAAACTTATAATTTACTTTGTAACCTGTTAAAACAAATGCTACACAGTAGGGTTGCAAATGTATCACCGCGATGTCAGTATGTGCAACACGCATATCGACAATAATGGAAATAAATCACAACGAAAGGTCAGCACAAATGTTTGTTACACATAATGCATTTTGTCAAACGGAAGCATGATGTTTTAGACAAATCACACAAAGCTCTTCACCCATTTGGCCAATCGGGTCGGTTCTCATAGGTTATATGCCCACCTCGAAGGTGGACGGCACTTAATCTGGATGGATAGCAACAACCAGAGTTAGCCTCTATCTGCTGATTCAGGGATCTACTGATTGCCATTTCTTATTCATTTATTTATTTGTTTTAGAATATTTTGTTCCTGAGATGTTTTTATTTATTGCAAGTAGGGTTGTCACGGTGTGAAAATGTAACCTCACGGTTATTGTGAACAAAATTATCACTGTTTTCGGTATTATCGCGGTATTTTTTTAAGCGTGTTACATTTTCAGACAACTAAATAAACCCTGTATATCAGGAAAATATTGTCCTCAGTTTGTCTAAATTTTACCTAAAATGTGTTATTTTGTAATTATGTTGTTTATTTGTTGACATTTTCCCCTTTTGTCTTTAAAATACCAATATTTGCCCATAACTACTTATTTTTTGTCTGTTTGATGTCATCATTTTAAAAATATTACATCAGATGATACTCAGTACTCAAGTAGCCTTTAGATACTTTTTTTACCCTTACTTGAGTAATAAACCCTATATCAGGAAAATATTGTCCTCGGTTTGTGTCCTTCCAGTGAGATTTGCAGATGTGGGAAAATGTCATCAGGCAGTAATCGTTGTTAAATTCATAATTATTCTCGGAGAGAGACCAACTCTTATCTGCCCCTGGGAGCCCCGTAATGCATAGCGTCATTTCAACATGGGGGTGTCCGCGATTTATACGCAGGTAGCGGCGCTGCGGCTGCTTTATATAGCGACTCGTTGCATTCTCCCTCAACCCAAATCCTCGGATCACGCATTTTAGCTAAAACGCTAACTTGCCTTGCGTTGACTGTAGAGTTGTGGGTGATGGTCACGCAGATGTGTCATGAGATTTGAAGCGTTGCTGCCGTTCACAGACACTTTTTCTGCACGTGCTGCAAACAGGATAGCCGTCTTCTGTCAACTGTCCCTCGGCTTTCTTCAAATATCCAAAAAACGTCCGTACTTCCCACTTTGTCTTCTTTGAGGGATAATAAATGTCCTGAGCGCTGCCGTCTCCTCCTTTGGCCATTATTTCAGCTTTAGCTTCAAAAAAGTTTTGGTTGTAAACAACAAAGTGCGCATGTGCCGCCGGCAACTTCAGCAAATGATACGGTAGCTGGTAAGGGTCACCGCGCCTACACCGCAGCCACAGTAATCCACCGAGATAATATAGTTTTTGAAAAACAAGACGGTTATTATTGTCAACTTTTTTACCGGGATTTACCGCTACAACGGTTACCGTGACAACCCTAATTGCAAGTCATATTGTCACCACAATATTAATCACTGTTATCGCGTATCGCAGACTTTCCTGGTATTGTGCAGTCCTGCTACACAGTCAAATGGAGGTAGGCATCTAAAACCAAAAATAAATTGTGCACAAAAATAAATAGAAGTAACTCTGTTGTTAGCAACTAACGAGGAAATTAGCTTACAGAGGCGACTCTTTGTTCGCCGCCGTGACGTGCTTCCTTTTAAGGTGCTCATGCAATGCCTTTGTAAAATGCTCCCAAACCTTTGAGCTACGTTGCCGACTCGCCATGATGTCTCTTGCTCTGGTGATTCTATTTCGAAGGCTGATCCGGATGGCCACCACCGCGCATGTGCCTCAAGCAGAAAACAGCCACTGATGATGCCACAGCAGGCGAGGTTTAACAAATGCTCCTAGAGTAAATGCAACACGCTTAAATTCAGTATGTGAGTGAAACAAAACACCCAAATTCCTTTTTGGCTCATTAGCACCACTAGTGTTTGGACTTGGAATTGCATCTGCCTATAATCTGATCTTTGTATAAAGCCGGGCGTACACTGTGCGACTTTTTCACTTTTTTGAGCCGATTTTCCAGTCGTGCGAGAAGCCACGACATCGGGGCGAGTTTTGCGCCGAGTGGTCGTGTAGTGTACAGGGGGTTACGAGAGGCGATTAACACCACGTGACCAGCCGCCGATCAGCAGTCGTGAGGTCGCACGGACTTCTGGTGTGTTTAATATTTCGCTCGTCCCTCGTGAGGGTATCGCACTGTTGAAGCGGCGCTGCGAGCAGCTGCGAGCAGCTACGATCCAAAAAGTATCAGAACCGCTCACGGCGCATGCGCGCGCGATCCTGCATCAACGCCGGCCGGTCGCTCGCTATTTCCCTAATAACACACGCTGTGCGTTTTTGTTTCTACACGTTTTTTTTACTCACAAAGATTGTCAAGAAAGCGTGTTTGTCGTGTTCATGTCAAATTAAACTGATCACAAAACACAGATTTACTTTCTTTATTTCGTTTCCTCATCCAACCCCCATAAATCCCTGTGTGTCCTCCTGCAGCACTCCCGAAGGACAACAGGCAAGACAAAAAAGTCTGACGTGTTGAGTAAAAACTGCTATTTTTAGCACATTTTTAGGGCCGACGTGTTGCTACCAGACGTACAGTGTGAGCAGTCAGGTCGCATGCGAGAACTGGGTCGTGCAGTGTGAGCACACGACTCGTGAGATCTGCTCTGCGAGGAAGTCGTACAGTTTGAGCTGAAGCTGAACGCTGCGAGTGAAAAAGTCGCACAGTGTACGCCCGGCTTAAAGGTGACAAGCAGGGTTACTTCAGGGGGCCTGTCAAATTTCAGCAGGGGCCATTCCCCCGTGGCCCCACCCCTTGAACCATCAAGCATTTATGCTGACCTGACAGGATTACAGGTTCTAATAAAGATGTTTAGTGGCTGGTAGTGAAGTTACACCAACAAAAAACACCACGATCGTGATTAGTTATCCCAAATTAATAATTGTGTTAATAAATAATGTTAATATCTGAACAAAAAAATTTTTTCTCTTATGTCATCCTAGCCTAAATTGTACCGGTCTGTGATTGAAGATGTCATGAGCGAGGTACGGGAGCTGTTCCTGGATGAAGGAGTGGACGAGCAGGTTCTCCACGAGCTGAAAACGGTACGTTTTCTGCAGGAGATGGTTTCCAGATGCAACAGGGGCAGCCATCATTAATCAAAAGGCAAACTAATGGCTTTAATGGATGGAAAACGCAGGTCTCTGCCTCTAACTTTCATAAGTGGGAGGTACTCTGAGACTGAGCAGAAGGAGCTGCAGTGATTAGATTTGATCTGTTCTCCAGAGGACATTTAGTCTACCAGACCAGGAGCTATAAACAGTTTTTTGACCCCAACATGGTCCTCTGCTCTTTCTTTACCACATAACATTAGTTGTTAGTTGGTGATTTTAGGTTATTTATCTTTTAAAATCTAGCCTGAGAAGTACATTTTGTCCACACAGCATCTCTAACATGCGGTTAAATAATCTCATAAGCAGTCCTGTAACCCAAATCTTCTCCATCTGCTGGCACAGCTATGGGAGAATAAACTGCTCCAGTCCAAGGCAGTGGAGGGCTTCCACTCTGATGAGCAGGCAGCCCTGCAGGCCTCCCAGCAGCAGCAGCAGCAGCACATCCAGCATGTTCAGCAGGTGACTCAGCCAGCACAAACCCAACAAGTCATCCTGCCCCCCCAGCAGCAGCAGCAAGGTGCGTTCAAAAGCTGATGTACAGCAGCAAAAACTATCCGTGACACACATTTGATTAGGAGGGTTTTAATTTTCTCTGCAGCGCCGCAGCAGCAAGTCATTGTTCGGGATCCTAAGCTTCTTCAGCACATGAGTGCAACAGGGATGGTGAGTGCATCGTGTGCTCATTTTTGAGGACAGTGCTAGTTGGGATTTGGTGTTCATCAGAGAAAAGTTTTTCTTATTCTAATTATTCAATAAAAACTGTATCCACAAATCCACAAAACACATGTAGACTGGTTGGGCAAGTTCCCACGCACCCTCCAGGACCCCCCTAAGGGTATAGAGCTGGTCCAGTGTTCCACGGCCGGGACGAAAACCACATTGCTCCTCCTGAATCTGAGGTTCAGCAATCCGACGGACCCTCCTCTCCAGAACCCCTGAATAGACCTTACCAGGAAGGCTCAGGAGTGTGATCCCTCTGTAGATGGAGCACACCCTGCGGTCCCCCTTTTTAAATAAGGGGACCACCACCAGTCCAGTGGGACTGCCCCCGATGCCCACGCGATATTGCAGAGCCGCGTCAGCCAACACAGCCCCACAACATCCAGAGCCTTAAGGAACTCCGGGCGGATCTCATCCACCCCTGGAGCCTTGCCACAGAGGAGCTTTTTAACCACCTCAGTGACCTCAGCACCAGAGATTTGAGAGGCCAACCCAAAGTCCCCAGACTCTGCTTCCTCACTGGAAGACATGTCGGTGGGATTGAGGAGGTCTTCGAAGTATTCTGCCCACCGATCCACAACATCCTGAGTAGAGGTCAGCAGCACACCGTCCCCACTATAGATAGTGTTGGTAGTGCACTGCTCCCCCCACCCCCACCCCGAGGCGCTGGATGGTGGACCAGAATCTTTATTTTAATTTTGATTATATTTCATTTCTAAGGTTTGGATGTCTGTGAACATTACAGAATATTCAGATTGGTGTAAAGAACATGATATTAATAACAGGTCATGATCTAAAGCTGGTCTGAGGTCTAAAACTCTGCCCTGGGCCTAAAGCCCTGCAGATTCATTTAGTTTCTATAAACAACAACAATTAAATAACCGCAGCTGGATTCTACTTTGTTCCTTAAATTGAGTCACGTAGTTTTGCAAGTTCTGCAGCTCACACGTTCAACAGGGAGCTCTGCCAGCTGATTGGTTCTTTTGGTACCTAGTGCAGTTCTGGTGCTGAGCATCATGGATGCATCAGTGGATTCATAATGGATTAAGAAAGGACAGGAAAACATAGTTAACTCAAATATATCATTATAATGAACACGTATAGATACTTTATCATACATACCTACCAGCCTGTAACTCTACCTTTACCCCCCAAAATGCACCAGACTGATGTGTTTAAATACAAAATGTCCAATAATTTTTTTTCTAGGGGGCATGCCCCCGATACCCCTAGAGTACTTTAATACTTATCATCTTTTTTACCTCAGAGAAATCTCAACACCCGCACTTCTAAACACTGTACGTGAACGCGTTATTCCAAAGTTTTCAGAAACAATAACGCTGATCTTAAAACCAATCAAAACCCGAATAGTGGCTACATGTAAACAATGTGATTATTATATAATTATTATTAATATATTAGTAAACTGTAATAATTTAAATGTATCTAGAAAAGCATGTGACCCTCACAGTGTCTGCTGGCACAGACAAATCTAGTTGAAGACCCTGGTCTAGACCTCTAGAAGCCTGTTTTGTAGAGCTGATGTGTGTGTATTCTGTTTTCCTCCACTAGAGCGCAGCAGCCACTGCAGCAACTCTGGCTTTACCTACAGGTGTCACTCCATACCAGCAGATCATCACTCAGCAGGGTAACACCACCATGCCCTAGTGCTGCACTCAACTCAACTGGTGTTTCAGCCGTTTCACTGCTCTGATGTTTCTCCTTCACCTTTCGCTGACTCAGGTCAGATCCTGCAGGTGGTGCGCGCTCCCAATGGGGCTCAGTACATCATTCAGCAGTCCCAACAGCCCATCGTGCTGCAGCAGCCTATGCAGTCTGGTGGTGTGCAGGCACCGGTCATACAGCAGGTACCCCACCGCCATTTAACTAGTTGAACTGTATTATAGAACAAATCAGTTTATGGAAGTTGTTAGAATTTGGTTTTGATTAAAAGTAGTGGTGCAACCGCTCCAGCAACTCAGGGCTCGGATCATATCACGGCTTCGAGTCACGGATCGGGTCATTTCTGGGATCAGCAGACTGAAAAAAAAAAGACAAATAACTTTGCTGTCTTTATTTTGCAGAACACTTAATGAGCATTCAGCAGAAAAAGCTGCACTAAGTACAAACATTCATCTCAAGACATTTATGTTTATGAATTTAGCAGATGCTTTTGTCCAAAGCGACTTACAGGTGATAAGGAAGCTAGCAGGTTGCCCTTGAGGCTAACAACAAACACTAATCAGTCAATCCTAGGTGGCAGTGAGGCAGCATAAGGTGCTGATACATTTACCCGGGCATGAAAACCCCTCACCTTTTGGCAAACTTTGCTGTTTAAAATCTCAAATGAGTCCTTGCCGATCTGATGAGAAAATATTTGGGGTGGGGTGGGGCCAGCTTTTACATATTAACCAGTTCCAACATTCGAGAGGATTTTTAAGACCTCCCCAACACCACCGACAGTACAATAAATAAATAAATTAGTCAGAACCGGCGCAACCCGCACAAACGCACCTCGTCTGGAGGTCCCCTGTGTAGACCCGCAGACGGCTCTTTAAGGGATATGAATGTTGCCAACCTACACACATCTTTTCGTTTTTGTATTATCAAATTTATTGACGTGGGAAAAGTCTGGATAAGAGTCAGAAATTTTGATCACGATAAATTTTCGATTTATTGTCCAGCCCTGATATTTAGGGCCGTCACGGTAACCGCAAAAATGAAATATCGCAATATGAAGAAACCCACCGCGCTGCATCATGGGCCACCGCGATTACTGAACTTGATTCAACTCAATGATGCATGTAGAGAAGGATGGCTGCACTGGTGTCAAAACGAAACGTTACTTCGCTCCTTTGGGAGCGCTTTGGTTTTCAGTACGTCAGCTGCTGCGCAGCCAGGGTCCTTGGTCGAGACAGAGCTGCCACCAACGGCAAATAAATAAATAAACGCTCGGAGACCTGCTGAAGTCCCGGACAAGCACTGCTTCTGCAACCGTCCCGAAGAGAGTTTGAGCCGAGCTGGAGCTCACTCGCTACCTGCAGGAGGAATGCATCCACCCTAAAGAAACCCCCCTGACATTAATTAATTTGTGTTTAGGTTCTGGCTCCTCTTCAGGGAGGTCTGCCTCAGCAAACGGGAGTCATCATCCAGCCACAGCAGATCGTCTTGGCTCAAGGAAACAAGGTCCAAGACAATGCACAGGTCAGAACATGGCCCCTTGTAAATCTCCTGTTCTGTTTCTAGCCTCATCAACCAACTCTGTCCCTTCTGGGGGTTATTTCCCTTCAGGTGATGCAGGCGGCAGCCATGGTGCCTCAGCCCGGTCAGGCAGCAGGAGCAGCACCAGGAGGAGCAGCAGGAGGAGCAGCGACTCAGGTCCAGCAGGCCCATGCTGCAGCTGCACCACAGGCCCCACTGCAGCCTCAGGCCCAGCAGCAGGCTCAGCTGCAGGCACAGCAGCCTCCCATGATGCTCCAGGTGGACGGGGCCGGGGACACGTCCTCGGAGGAGGACGAAGACGAGGAGGAGGAGTACGATGACGATGATGACGAGGAGAAGGATAAGGATGGTGGAGAAGACGGGCAGGTGGAGGAGGTAACGGATGTGTCGTCGTCGTCATCGTCTTCCTCCGCTTGTACGGGTCGTGGGGGCAGCATCCCAACTAGGGAGCTCCAGACCGTCCTCTCCCTGGCCACCTCTACCAGCTCCTCCAGCAGGACCCCAAGGCGTTCCCGGACCAGATTGGAGATGTAACCTCTCCAACGTGTCCTGGTTCTACTCCGAGTCCCTCCCGAATGTCCGAGCTCCTCACCCTATCTCTAAGGCTGAGCCCGGCCACCCTACGGAGGAAATCATCCATTCGGCCGCTTGTATCCGCGTTCTCGTTCTTTCGGCCATTACCCAAAGCTCAAGACCATAGGTGAGGATTGAGACGTAGATAGACCGGTAAATCGAGAGCCTGGCTTTCTGGCTCAGCTCCCTCTTCACCACGACAGATCGGCTCAGCGTCTGCATCACTGCAGACACCGAACCAATCCGCTTGTCGATCCCCCGATCCCTCCTTCCCTCACTCGTGAACAAGACCCCGAGATACTTAAACTCCTCCACTTGAGGTAGAACCTCTCTCCCAACCCGGAGTTGGCAAGCCACCCTTTCCCGGTCGAGAACCATGGTCTCAGATTTGGAGGTGCTGATCCTCATCCCAGCCGCTTCACACTCTGCCACGAACCTACCCAGCAAGAGCTGAAGGTCAGAGCTGGATGAAGCTAGGAGGACCACATCATCCGCAAAAAGCAGAGACGAGATTCTCCTGCCACCAAACTCGACACACTCCACACCACGGCTGCACCTAGAAATTCTGTCCATAAAGGTAATGAACAGAACCGGTGACAAAGGGCAGCCCTGGCGGAGTCCAACCCTCACTGGGAACAGGTCCGACTTACTACCGGCTATGCGGACTAAACTCAAACTCCTCTGGTAAAGGGACTGAATGGCCCTTAACAGAAAGCCACCCACCGGTCATGAGCCTTCTCCAAATCCACAAAGCACATGTGGATTGGTTGGGCAAACTCCCATGCCCCCTCCATCATCCTTGCAAGGGTATAGAGCTGGTCCACAGTTCCACGGCCAGGACGAAAACCACATTGCTCCTCCTCAATCTGAGATTCAACTTTTGATCAGACCCTGCTCTCCAGTACCTTGGAGTAGACCTTTCCAGGGAGGCTGAGGAGTGTGATTCCCCTATATTTGGAACACACCCTCAGGTCACCCTTCTTAAAGGTGGGGACCACCACCCCGGTCTGCTACTCCACAGGAACTGCCCCTGATGACCATGCAATGTTGCAGAGACGTGTCAACCATGACAGCCCTACAACATCCATAGCCTTGAGATACCCAGGACGAACCTCACCCACTCCCGGGGCTCCGCCGCTGTGTAGTTGTTTGACTACCTCAGCAACTTCTGCCCCCGATATTGGACAGTCCATCCCCAGGCCTCCTGGCTCTGGTTCCTCCTCGGAATGCATGTAGGTGGGATTGAGAAGCTCCTCAAAGTATTCCTTCCACCGTCCAACTATAGCCCCAGTTGACGTCAGCAGCTCCCCATCCCACTGTAAACAGTGTGAGTGAGTTGCTGCCTTCCTCTCCTGAGGCGCCGGTCATTTTGCCAGAACCTCTTTGGAGCCGATCGATAGTATTTCTCCATAGCCTCACCAAACTCCTCCCACGCCCGAGATTTTGCCTCGGCAACTGCCACTGCTGCACCCCGCTTGGCTATCCAGTACCTGTCTGCTGCCTCCGGAGACCCACAGACCAGCCACGCCCTGTAGGCCTCCTTTTTCAGCCTGACGGCTCCCCGAACCTCTGGTGTCCACCAGCGGGTACAGGGGTTGCCACCACAACTGGCACCGGCTACCTTGCGACCACAGCTAGCAAGAGCCGCCTCAACAATCGCAGAGTGGAACAAGGCCCACTCGGAGTCAATGTCCCCCACTGCTCTTGAGGCGCGGTCAAAGCTTTGCTGGAGGTGGGAGTTGAAGACCGTCTTGACAGGTTCTTCTACCAGGCGTTCCCAGCAGACCCTCACTATGCGTTTGGGTCTGCCAGGTCTACGCGGCATGTTCCCTTGCCATCTGATCCAACTCACTACCAGGTGGTGATCAGTTGACAGCTCCGGTCCTCTCTTCACTCGGGTGTCCAAAACATACGGCCGCAGGTCAGATGATACGACTACAAATTTTATCATCGACCTGCGACCTAGGCTGCCCTGGTACCAAGTGTACCGATGGGCATCCTTATGTTCGAACATGGTGTTCGTTATGGCCAAACTGTGGCTTGCACAGAAGTCCAATAACGAAACACCATTCGAGTTCAGATCAGGCGGGCCGTTCCTCCCAATCACACCCCTCCAGGTCAAGCTGTCATTGCCCACGTGAGCATTGATGTCCCCCAGCAGGACTATGGAGTCCCCTGATGGAGCATTATCTAGCACTCGTCCCAGGGACTCCAAAAGGGGTGGGTACTCTGAACTGATATTTGACCCATAAGCACAAACAACAGTCAGGACCCGTTCCCCGACCCGAAGGCGCAGGGAAGCTACCCTCTTGTCCCCCGGGGTAAACTCCAACACACAGGCAGAGAGTCTCGGGGCTAACAAAAAGCCAACCCCAGCCCTCCGCCTCTCACCCGGAGCAACTCCAGCAAAGGAGAGTGTCCAAACTTCTCAAGGACTTGGGTTCCAGAGCCAATGCTATGTGTCGAAGTGAGTCCGACTATATCTAGCCGGTACTGCTCAACCTCTGCCACAAGCTCCTGCTCCTTCCCCGCCAGCGAGGTGACGTTCCATGTCCCAAAAACCAGTTTCGTTGTCAGGGGATCGGACCGCCTCCTGCGGGTGGTGGGTCCACAGTTGGATGAGCCCATGTATCTGGTTCGGGCTGGGCCCGGCCGGGCCCCATGGGCGAAAGCCCGGCCACCAGGTGCTCGCTCACAGGCCCCAACCCCAGGCCTTGCTCCAGGGTGGGACCCCAGTAACCCTCCGGGCCGGGTACTCAGACTCTTTGATTGTATATCCATGAAAGATCCTCTGATGTGATTCTGATGTATCTTAGAAAAGGGAAGTTTGTGTGAAAAGTCAGATTTGACTGTGGTTTCCTCGTTAGGAGCCTCTCAACAGCGGGGATGATGTCAGCGATGATGACGGGGGCGAGCTGTTTGATACAGAGAACGTGGTGGTGTGCCAGTATGACAAGGTAAGTGTGCGTGCGTGCGTGCACAGCGTTTGAGCTGAACACCCACCCCCATCTCTTGTTCTTCAGATCCACAGAAGTAAAAACAAATGGAAGTTCCACCTGAAGGACGGGATTATGAATCTTAATGGGAGAGATTACGTGTTTTCCAAAGCCATCGGAGATGCGGAGTGGTGAGGTGGAACACCCGGAACAGGAACTCTGTAATTCCTTCTGTCCAGTTAAACCAGACACGGCAGCATCCTTCCAATCTCTGACAGGGTCTCTTCCAAGAAGCTGGTTTGGAGTCTCTGAGAACTCTAAAGAACCACCAGAGGTACCGTTTCATAAACAAAAACAAGGAATACTGGGGGGTGATCCATGGAAAACACTCAACTGGCCCCGAAGGATAAGGAACTCCTCAGAGGACGGGAGAGGCTGAGTGTCTCATTGTATCTTCTCCATCTTTTCTTCTTCCTCTGAGGGAATTCGCTAAAATAAGCATTTGACATCAGACAGGTGTAGTGGACCAGGGTGATGTGGCCTGTTCTGTAGAGGTCAATTCTGCTAACCCTCTAGAGGAGTACCACCGTTGTATAATGCACTGTAGTCGGGTGACTGGATTGACTCGCGTCTACTTTTCTGTCCAGATTTAGTGCCACCAGTCAAACTGCTGCCTTGTAGAACGACAACCAGAGTCATGGTTTGTTTGTTTTTGCTTCTGTTTTCAAGCTCTGTCTTTGTTTTTATGAAAATGGTGCTCCAGAGTGTTTTATCTAGTTAATCTATTTTAATTTTAGCCTTTTTTATGTGGTTGATGAAGGGTACAAAGAAGGTAAAAACTTACAATAAAAGCATTTTAACAATCTTTAATCATAATTTCCCCTCTTTTACTTCTCTGGAGTCTAATTGCACCCCCACCCCCCAAATAAAAACTATTAAATAAGCAGACTAATCGTTTTAAAGTTAGCTGTGATGCAGGATTGTCTTTGCTTTTATGTTTCTGCAGCCATCTGAAGATTTGCACTGTCAGTTTATCAATGTGTTGTGAGGTCAGTCCTGGTAATCCATAGTCATGTTCTCTCTCTGTCTCTCTCTCTCTGTCCTTTTTCATGTTTTTGTTTGAAAGGTTGCAGCACCAAACTGTGCTCTTATCTAATAAGTGTTCCTTTTTTCTGGCTGGGCAAACTCTTGTTAACGCCGTTCCAAATCATTTCTTCCACTGTATGTACTCCTGTGCTTTCAGTGTAGTCATAACTTTTAGAGAGACTTTTATATGGAAGTGAGGTGAACTTGGTGGGGGCTGTGTGGATTTCTGCTGTTTGTTTTTAGTGCCCCTGTTTCAGCAGTTTGAAATAAAAGCATATGTGTTTGTTTTTTCAGATCACTCCTGTTATTTGTTTGTCTCAGATGTTTATAGAGTAAAGGTTTCAGCTCAGAGAGAACACAGAACATTTTTAATGATATGTTAATAAAATGGCCTTTTTTAAACGTACATAGAAATACACATCGAGTCAGTCAGGGTTTAGATGGTGGTGGTGGTGGTCGGGAGTGTTCTCTAATGACCTCCATTAAATTCTGTATCATGATTTTTATTATGATTTTTTACTTTTTTTGTAAGTTTTAATGAATCTAGAAAACTAGAGTCCTAGTTAGAGATGCAGATGTTTCTTATCCATATCGGTATCAGCCGATGTTGTTAATTTTTTTATCGTATCGGTATCGATCCGATAAATAAAACTGGGCCGATATTAACAACCGATAATTTTTCCATCTTGTTTCCATTTATCTGTTTCAGAGGGTGGGAGGGGTGATGTGTATTTGTTCAGGCATGTGACTGATTTTAATCACCTCAGAAGTGTAAATGTGTGTACATAACGTGAATTCAGCTTCAATCATTTTCATTCTATACAAAATCTATGGATTTTAGAAGCATTAATGTCAGTATATTGGTTATTGGCCATAAAAGTGATCATTCCATTCCATTTTATTTATAAAGCACATTTCTACACGGCCGAGGCCAACCAAAGTGCTGCACAATAAAAGCATAAAAATCAACACACGGGAAGAAAGTAATAAAAGTAGTACAGTAACTACTATAAAAACAAAAATAAAACGTACATAGTAAAATGCTAACTAGGCTGAAGTAAAAACCAAGGAATAAAAATGAAGCCTTCAGGCTTGATTTAAAATCAGAGAGAGGGGGCCATTCTCACTGCTAGAGGGAGTTGGTTCCAGAGACGAGGTGTACAGATTGAGAATGCTCGTTCTCCTCGCGTCCTCACCCGAACACTTGGGACCTGTAACAGGCGGTGGTCTGCTGACCGAAGAATTCGACCAGGTACGTAGGCTGAACCAGCTGAGTCAAGTATAGAGGTGCATAAAGATAGAGTGACTTAAAAACAAGAAGTAAAATTTCAAACTGGATGCGGTAGCGCACCGAGAGCCAGTGCAGCTGGATCAGAACAGGAGTAATGTGTTCCCTCTGTCTGGTATCCGTCAAAAGGCGGGCCGCCACATTCTGCACCAGCTGTAGGCACGCAACCGAGGAAGATGTGGGTCCTTAACAAAGGGAATTTGCATAATCCAAGTGAGAGATCACAAATGCATGGATCACTGTGGGCACGTCGCGTCCAGTCAGGATGATAATGGCGGTATCGGTCCAAAATTTTCACATCGTTGCATCACTAGTCCTGGAGTTCCTGAAGGAATACAGACTGGTCAAATATAAAAAAATATGTATGGAATTTTAAGCTTTTGGCTAGGAGGGGGTTCAAAGTGTCTTGGCTATTTCCACAACCATTATTATGGCTGCTGCTTGTGTTTGCTAAAGTTGGTTAGCTGTAGCATCATGACTTTATCCCTAAAATAATCACAGCATGTGCTGGACGCATGATGTGGAAAAGTTCTGGGATTTTCACTCAGATCCATCCAGTGGTTTGACAAAACGATTTGCTAAGACAGGTTGACTAAAATTTAGCAGCAATTATTCAATTGGACCCTAAAACTTTTTAGTTTTTACAATTAGAAATAGTTCTTTGAGCCTCTGTGTGCATTGGATATCACAACACCTCTGTGCTGTACACAAATCAGACAAAGAAAAATCACTTCAGAACTTTTTCCACCTTTAATGTGATCTATGAACTTTACCACCCAGTTGAAAAACATAAGTGTGCACACCTAACTGGAGATGTAGATGTGTTCATAATTAAGCAATCACGTTCGAAATAAATATACTTAATGAGGAGTCAGCATGCCATCACTTAAAGCACCTCTCATTAACCCCGAATAAAGTATTGTTCTTTTCTGACATTCCTTAGTTGCATCCCACAGCTAAAGCCGTGGTCCACAGAGAGCTTCTAAAGCATCAGAGGGATCTCACTGTTAATGATAGCAGTCAGCAGAAGGTTATAAAATAACTATCCCATCTGGTTTGTGTGTATCATTCAGGTGCTCTCACGGTCCTGCTCCTCTGTCAGGCAAACCCGTGTATTGTATTCTTTTCTTGGTGGTTTTGGCTTTTCACCTAGCGAACACCTGAACACCAAAATAAGAGCTCTGTTTCAGAATTCTTTGGTTTCTGTTTCTTCAGCCACGTCTTGTTGGGCCAATTTTGTGTCAGATATTAAAACAGGAAAACGTTTGGACTATCACAAAAATTCTTTTCGACCAACAAAGTCAAGGAGGTCTGGTTTAAACTGATAAACAAATGTTATCCTTCTAAACAACATCTGTGGAAATTTAGGAAAGATATCATTGCAAACTGTTCTTTCTGCCAAGACCATCTCGAAACTGCCACTCGTTTATTTCAGTTTTGTCAATAGACTCACAAACTTCCACAAGTTTGCCACCAATATTGTTCTATTTGACTTTTACTTCTACTTTAAGAATGTTCGTTTTGGCTGTCATCATTTTGTTCACAAAGATGCGAATGCTTCGTTCATTATAAATGTCTGTTTTTAGCTAAATGTCACATTCACCAAAGCAAAGTCACTGGAGGAAACCTGGACTCTTTACTGAAGATAGAACTTGAATATTTGAGAACAATCTTATCAAAAACACCCTGATCAGACAGGATTCATTAAAGGCCGCTATAACACCAATAATACACGAAGGCAATAACACCAACATGCCATCATAGCCTCACTAGATGCAGAAAAGGCTTTTGACAGGGTTAATTGCACATTTTTATTCACCACCTTATTAATTTATTTAGATTAAGACAAAATTTTCTTTCGTGGATGAAGCTTTATAGTTCCCCCGCAGCAAGTGTAAAAACAAGTGATCAATAGGGGCACCAGACAGGGCTGTCCACTCTCCCCATCGCTCTTTGCTATATTTCTTGAACCCCTGGCAGCTGCAGTCAGACAAAACTCTGACATTGAGGAGATCAAATGTAGACGATCTACACAGAAAATCTGCCTTCATGCAGATGATATTTTACATCACTCCCTGAAGCAATCAACTAAAATGTTTTTATTCATTTTAGACTGTTCTATCAATGGGAACAAACCAAAGGCCCTATCAGTTACCCCAAACATTCAGATCAGTCCAACTACAGTATAAAACATGAGAACATCAAATATCTAGGCATCAATATTTCTACCAGGCTGCAAGATTTATAACAATTAAACCACTACCCCGTGCTCGAAACAGTCTCTCAATATGGACAAACCTCCTGCTATCACTTATGGGAAGATTAGCTGCTATGAAAATGTTGGTTCTCTCTAAAAACATTTTTATATTTTCAATAATGCCTAAAAAAACCCACCCCAAACATGGTTCAAATATGTAGACTGTGTGGGGCGAAGGTGGCACAGGAGTTAAGTGCTCGCCCCGTAATCAAAAGGTTGCAGGTTCGAGCCCCGCTCAGTCTGTCGCTGTTGTTGTGTCCTTGGGCAAGACACTTAACCCACGTTGCCTGCTGGTGGTGGTTGGAGGGACCGGTGGCACCTGTGCTCGACAGCCTCACCTCTGTCAGTGCGCCCCAGGGCAGCTGTAGCTGCGTCGTAGCTCATACCCACCAGTGTGTGTGTGTGTGTGTGTGTGTGTGTGTGTGTGTGTGTGTGTGTGTGTGTGTGTATGACTGTATATGTCAGGTGGGGCCTATGACTCCTTCCCTATCCTGGGACTTCTTTTGATGCTATACATCTTCGTCTCCCCTCCCCCTGCCACACCTGGTGTGGAGTGCAGTGCCTTGGTCTGCCTGAGTGCTCATGGCTCCCGGATCAGGGGGTTTAAGATTTTTGGCATCCGCCTGATCAATCCCGGTGGCTGCCTTGTGGGATCTGGGACCCTGGGCTCTGCTGGGTCCCCAGCGGGGCTGGTCACCCCTGGGTCCCTGGTCGCTGGGTTCTGGGCTCGGCCGGCTTGGGGGTGGGAGGCTGCGGGCAGGCCTGTGGGCTTGCCGCCAATATCTCCCAGGACTCTGCCGGCTGCTGGTTGTGGCCCCTCGGGGCGATCCTCTGCGCCTCTCGAGGGAGGCAGGGGCTTTTCTGGTCGCAGTCTCCCTGGGGTCCCTGTGCTCTGGGACAGCTCCTGGATTTCTGGGACTTAGAGCTCCCTCCATCTCCTACACATCTTGGAGGGCAGATCTGTGGCCCCTCTCTCTATTGAACGCTCCTATAGAGAAACCTTACATAAACAAGCGCGTGTACACACACAGGTGCTCACATGATGCTCTCATAAGTATGGGCTTGGGCATGTTCAACACATGTCTTAAGGCTGTGGTTGGCACTAAATGTATGGAGAGAATGTCTGCCCTGCCTCCTTAGTTTTAATTGCTTTTTGACATGTAGGTCCAGGGGGAGGATGGTGGAATCTGCAACCTGTCAATGGTTTTTTGTCACTCTTCTGTTTAAGTGTATTAAAAGCCTAAAATTGTGAATAATTAATGAGCATCAGACCCACGTGACCGCAGAGCTAGTTCCGGGCAAAGGCCTCAGCCTGAGCCTCGGCCTCGCCTGAAAACTTTTCCGCGATTTTCAGTCTCTCAACTTAGACCATCAGTTGTAGTGTTTGTGCATTCGTTTTGGATATTATTTGTGCAATTGTTGGACAAAATGACTTGCTATGGTATTAATTGCACTAATAGAGCGTCCAAGGAGTCTCCACTTCATTTATTTCGGTAAGTAAAATTATATTTATGTCTTTTAGGTCACTGCCGCTCTTGCACAACCTGAGCTTAGATTTTAATATGTACTGTTTAACCATGAACCAACTATAGTTGGACGGTGGAAGGAATACTTTGAGGAGCTCCTCAATCCCACCTATGCGCATTCCGAGGAGGAACCAGAGCTGGGAGGACTGGGGATGGACTGTCCAATCTCGGGGGCAGAAGTTGCTGAGGTAGTCAAACAACTACACAGCGGCGGAGCCCCGG